AACGCAAACTAACCCCCATCAGCCTCAGCTGTACTTTGTGTTCAGTGCTAATTGTCAAACGTTACCATACCAACTACTCTGATCTAAGATGGTTAAACACTGCTGACGTCCGCTGCCTTAGTACAGCTTCACAGAGCTTTCCTGGTTTATAAAATAAGTCATAAGTGTCCTTAAAATAAAACTCCTTTAATGTGCTGAACACAAAGAAGTAAAACTGAAAAACTCTTCCCAGTCTGTGAAAGTTAGCATGATATCACCACTGTTAGAGTAATGTACTCCCTTTTTTGTCCTTTATACCGTGAGCACTGTGACTAACTTGCCAGATGTTGATGATGTAAAAGTAAAATTTCCAGCCTAGTCCAATGAAACATGATCATCATCACATCCACAACTATCAATTTGCAAACACTTGCGTCACTGTGGATTTGAGGATTTCTACTTAGTCATTCTAATCCAACAATGAGAATTATATGTGTCCACAAAATTGAAACAGGAAAGGGTTTGTAATTTCTGCTGCAGGACAGTAAATGTGTCCCGAATAAACAGTTTGCAGCAAGTGAGAACTGTTGGATACATTTCTACTACAAACACTACTTGTACAGATTGTTTTAACCACATACTGACCTTCTCCATCTCCTCCCAGTTGTAGTTGTTGTTGCCGACCACCATGGCCATCAGCTCAGAGGGCTGGAACAGCGACAAGATCTCCCCCCCGCACACCTTCAGGAAGCCAGCGGAGAAGGCCGAGTACTGCTCACTCACAGAGTCTGAGAACACGTAGCGCAGGTAGGCCTCCACAAACTCCTTCCTGAAACACACACACACACACACACAGACAGACACACACAGTTCAGTAAATATTCAGATCATTAATTTGTACGGCACAGCAGCTGCATCCTCCCCGACTTAATTTATAAGGAAAGAAATTATTCAGACTTCAAGGTGTGACTGTAAACACTCGCTTCCTCCTCCATTGTGTGCTCGCCGGACCAACAATCTCCAGCCTGATCTGAGTTTGTTTACATCTCAGCGAGGTTGTACTGCACAAGTTGCTCAGGTAGATTAAATCGATAATCTCCTCAACCCAGCTGGCTGCACCTGTGTCTCCATCATTACGAATACATGTGGAGCAGCTAAACATTGTCTAAGCAAGCTGGAGGTTATGTTAACTTTTAGATAAACTCTAGAGTACCGACTCCAGCATGAACCAGGAGGTGCTGGTTAATTTATACAGCCTACAGCTTTCTGTTTACACACAGAAATGATGACTTTTTTTACACACTGCCAGAACATCCTGTTAAAAGAGGAAAAGCTTCAAAAAAACAGAAGCAAGATGCTCCAAAAATATTGTTTTACTGAAATTTAAAGAAGTGAATTGGGCTACAGGGAAGAGAAATTCTGCTCTTTAGCTTCGTGTAACCAACCACACATAGAGGTGCTTGCTCCTTGGACGCCTGAGTAAGCAAGTAAAACAATACTGTCCGTTAAAATAGAGTTCACAAACACTCACACAAGGACAAACTAACCTTCAGTCTGAATCAACATCTCTCTTTCAGTGTGTGTGCTTGGGGATGTTTTACACCACAGCAACAACCATTTTCTCTATTATTTCTGTTATTACAGTTTTATATCTGGGTGTTGAGGGGATTTTGCAGGAACAACTTGGATCACTGCTGCTCTCACCATCTGTTCAGCCCCAGCAGCCAGACATGTTGACACCACAACTCTCTGTGGACTCCTCCACATAACACTGTAATCAATGCCACTGGCACAAGGATGAGCTTAAGAAACAGGGTGTTGATGATGGAAAAAAAACACACACTCAGGGATGCTTAAAATACCTAAATCAATCTTTGTTTTCTGTGTTTTCAGCACATGAACATGACCTTCAGTTAGGACAATAGGCCGCGAGCTGCCAGCTGTGTGAGCACATGATAATCTCAGTGCTGGGGGACAAAAAAATATTAAAAAACCTGTTTATCTTCCTGAAAGAACAGAGTGTAAAGCATTACAAATATTCATAAAACAAGGTCATTTCAAACAGGACATCAAGTAAAGCACTGGTTGATGAATTTATTCTTAATATTGTTGCCTTAAACTATGGGCAGTACATATTTGATCTGTCGGGCTGCCTCACCTGTTGTTTTTGTCCACGCTGATGCTCTCTCCTCCAGGGATGAGCTCCTTGACTTCTGTCATCCCGTAGTTCTCCCTGGTGATCTGAACATGATGCGAACACAACAAATAGCCTCAGATTGGAGTTTTGTAGGTTTTTTACATTTCAGGAGTGAAGTGTAGACATTGTAGGATGTAGAAGGTTTGCTTATAATCAAGCAGTTTTCAGTTGAAGCGTAAGTCTGGACAGAGGCGCATAGCTTGAAGCCCGGCAAGATGATAGATTTTCGCGTGAACTTGCAAGGTTAAACAAATTCCATAAAAAGACTAAAACAAGTATTCTCTGTGTTGCTGCTTCCTCTGATAGACATTCACTAAAAAAACTATTAAAAACACAAACTGTTGTACTGGGTTCCTTCATTATGATGAACATGGACACTAAAGATCCCACATAGGGGTGGGTGGATCAATACCTACCAATACCAAGTGTTGTTTTGAATATTGATAGTAGCATTAATGGGATTATGTACCATGAAAACTCTCTTGTTGTTTAACATGCATGCTATTATGGTAGCAGAAATGCCTTATGTTCAGCAAATCACTCAGTGTCAATAAAAGCATTTATTTATAGCCGTGTTAGTGATGACTCATGAAACATAAAAGTACGTTAGCTGCTTTTAATATTATCAGATCAATACTGGCCACATACTTTATCCTGCTGCTGTAAATATGAACTACATGTGTATTAATAGAAAATAGTCCCCAACAAATACTCTTTTGACTCTAGTTTGAGTAATGTTTGTCCAGCTAGAAAGAAAATTATTTAGCTTTTTAAATAAATTAATCTCTACATTTGTTTTTGTTTTTTTAGATTTATGTCTCCTGTAGAAACCAAAGAGCTCGGAGATGAGTGCTGCAGACGGTAGGGAGGTCGGACAGTATTATGAGATGGATTATCACATTATTTGTTTCCTTTTATGGGATTTGTGGACAATAAGAAAAATCTAAAAGTTGGCATAAATGAGGGCAAAAAAGTTACACTTACAGCAAAGTTTAGAAGAAACGTCTCCTCCACATCACCTCCTTCATAGTCTAGAAGTTGTTGTAGACTCCTGCAGAAGAATAAACAGAAGGAACAATAACATTAACATGACAGTGGGAAAGGCACAAGCTAATAATTTTATTAGAGTGGTGAAAAAAAAGAAGAAAATAAAGGCTAGAAACACCATAATTAAAAATGTTGGCCGCCATGAGGTTAGAAACTAATTTCATAGGAAAAACAGCATCATGTATAAGTTGATGACGTAGCTGTAATAATACCTTCTTCATTTCAGAAATATCTGTGGGATCGTGATTCTGTTTTTTTCTACCTTATCAGACAGTTTATTGCCGCCCCAGGTTTTAATCTGTCCCTGTTTGACTTTTAAAATGAAAACGAGGGATCAGCTATGCCTGTGCTACAGTAAACAGATAGGGAACACCCAAAATTGTCTGTTAGAAGTGGTAAAATATTAGCTAATAATACCATAGGAAATTACTCAGAGGGAGTGTGTCGTGTTTGTTTTCCTGCAAAGAACAAGCTGGATATTTGTTATCAAAACTCAGGAAACATGGAGAGTGGGCTGGCAAAGGAAATTAAATACCATGGCCTTATAATTTGGCCCTAACTACTGAGCTGAGGTCACTTATTTTAAAATACTGAAAAGACAATACAAATGAATTTAATCTCAAACAATTTAGCACTAATGCATTTTACACATTTATTTAAACACTGTTTTATCTCTTCATTGTCAGTGTGAGGTAGCCTGTGTGCTTTTAAGACAGTCTAAATAAAAGTCCAGCATGTAAAATGTTTTTCAAGATCATCGCCCCTTTTGCGTTTGTGTTGTCTCTAATGGTAACAGTACAGGCTGTGTGGGCCCACTTGTAGCTTTCAGAGGACTAATCTCAAAATCAATTCTCAACTGGACACAATCAGGCACTCAGGAAATTCTGACCCTTCCTGCTCTAAATTCAGTGAAGAGGCATTTCCCAGTGGCAGTCAGTTTTAAAAAAAAAAAAAGGTTATGTAAGCGAGTGACACATTGTTGCACCCTTGAAGAGTCTTTTTGTCCGTGTGTGTTTGAGCACAGCAGGATTTGGGACTGTTGCTTTACAATTTTACACAATTTAGTTACACTTCTGCAATCTTTGAGGCTCTATTTGTTTCTCTTTAAAATGAACAAAGCCAATCCCGTAACAAGTTTCCAATTTTACACCACAAGAACACACAACTGTATGCAGCAGGTGTAATGTCTAACACAAAAGCAAAGCTACCATCTAAGTGAATCTAAAATAGGGGGATATAGACATATGCCTCCCTTCTCCTTTAAAGCTCACAGCACGTTACCTGGCCTCGGTGGGTGAGAGCTCTTTGAAGTCCTCCAGCGTCGGTGATACATCGAGCAGCTTCTTGTAGAGAGCCAGGGGGAAGTGGAGGTCCACCACTGTGGAGTTGTAGATGGCCAGACCGCAGATGATCCCGATCAGGTGAAACCAGTTCTGCTCAACAAAACACTGTAAACACACAAGAAAATTACTTTATCAATGCCTTTTCTTAGTACTTCTCAGATGTAGCAGTCTTACATCTAACAAAACAAGTGGCTGTACATAAACATTCAATTAACAGACGACTCCACAAGCTTAAAAACGTATATCAGCTGGATAAATTCTCAACATTTATTATTCAAACACAAAAACAACTGTATTTAAATGCATTTTGAATTCTAGCCTGCTAGACTAACATTTCATAAAAACATTTAATCCAAGGTTCAGGCTTAAAAAACAACTTGGTGTTGTGAGCATGTCCCTGAAAATAATTGGGTAATTAATTTCATTTAACATCAGTTTTAGTTTTAGTTACAAAATACACATTTTAAATTATTAATATAATAAACAGAATTTCATACAAAGCAGTTTTACCTTGCATAAACAGAGAGGGACAAAAAAGGGTCAATGATGATTCTGTTTCATTGCCAAATCACTAATCATTGGACTTAACTGGAACTGGTGATGCATAAAGTTCAGGGACACCTTTCCCTTACAGAGTGAAGTGTTTTTAAACCTGAATGTCGCCACTGACATATCACTACTGGAAAATACAGCTGCAGGTTAAATAACACATTCTGGAGATCCATTATAGGCTTACTGCCATCACATATTAAATAAACAAAAGCATTAGAAGAAACTTCCAACCAAAGTCCAAAGAAAATGTCATATAAGTTACTGAAATATTATCTCAAAACTCTAAACTGCCTTTATAATAACAGGTGGTAAATGCATTTAAAGCTTTTGAATAATCTTCCAGGTGTATTATCTCTAATTCTGCATTTCATTGATGGCTGACCTGTCAAACTGCCTCTCATCAACAAAGAGTGTAGAGGAATTCAACAAAAGTCAAACAAAAGACACTTTAACAACACTTAAACTTTATGAGCAAAGAAATGTCTGAGTCTGCTGGTTTTTAGTCAAATTCAAGCTAAAAAGCTAAATTGTTAGTTAAAAATAGTACTTACATATAGAAGAGCTCTGTATTGCATACTAAGATTCAGTTTCTGTTTATTTCATTTAATATTTATATTGATTGGCAGTAATGACGTTGCTGTGGACAACACTGTTATTCTTTATCACAACAGTATCATTTTTATACTACTAATATTACTGTACTCATAACAATATAACTTTAAAACAAAGTTATATTAAATTATCAAATAACTGAAGTTCCATATTTGGGTCACATGGTTACAACTGAGCAAAAAAAAGAACGAGATAAATTAACCTTGATATTTATTTCCCAAACTACTGTTTCCCCCCGTAAATTTAAAGGTGAGATCAAGGAGGTTCTGAACTACATCAAGCTGGATATTTGAACATCATTAACATGTGATCACAGTGTTGTTCTTACTTTGTCTGAGAACCACAAAAGGTTGGACTCTTTGTAATGACTGAACATCCCATACACCGGATCCATCAGCTCCTTTAACAGCAGCAGGAAGAACTCTTTAGTTACTCCACCTGCATCTACGGCCTCCTCTCCATCGAAGATCACCTGGAGGAAGCAGATGAGAAGATCACAAATAGCAGTGTTGTGGAATAAGAATTGCTCCACTACAGTGGCTTTAGGCGTAGCTCTCACCTTGAGGGGTTTCTTGAGGTCCACATCAGAGTACATGGTGAGCTCACGAAGTGTGTCGCTTACTAGATGGTTCCTGCGCACATGGAGCACCAAGTAAGGGTTCCTAGCAAGGTGGGGTTCCAGCGTGAGCAGCATAAAGACATTGTGTAAGTTTGCACCGCTGACTGCCATCTTGGTAATGGTCACAGGTTGAGGTGGGGGAAAAAAAAAAACGGGAAAAGAGACAAAAAAATGTTTAATTAATCAAATAAAACCTTAATCGTCAAACCCAAACCGGTGATCGAAGCTGAAAAAGTGACGTAACGGCAGGTACCTGCATTTGCAGTTCAGCATCTGTTTGCAGCATCGTTGTCTTGGCTTGAGCGTTCAGTATGAACGGGTAGGCACATAGGTTCACAGAGGGAAAGTCACTCTGCAAGAAAAAAAAAGGAAATATTTACTACGAAAATAACTTTTAATTAAAAAGGGTGAAATAAAAATGATATGTAATTTTAGATGTTGAAGCTTTAAATCAAGTACCTGTGAAGGGGAAGATGATCCCACTTTCTAGAAAACAAAATGAGGGAGAAAACAAATTAATTTGAGCTGACTTTGAATGAAATACGATTAACTTAGAAACTTATTGGATAGCAAGAGCTGACAAACAACAACACACCCGCAAGCAGGAGGGATAAAATTTCACACTGTCTCTGCAGACACTGAGAATGACATGAGTTAAGAGAGTGTGTGTGTGGGTGTGTGGGTGTGAGTGTTTGGATCCAGCAGATGTCAAGTAACAAGGAAGTGAAACATTATCAGAGAATGTCAGCACTCACAATCTCAGCTTTACTCAGAAACCATTTGAGGTAGTCTTCCTGGATGTCCACCAGGCTGGTGATGTCAGGGATATAAAAGCGGCTGTACTCCACATGGCGGGCCTTTAAGTTTACCTGGAGACATGGAACAAACACCTGCCTCAACTCCAGGAAATGTCACAGGTACAGTACACAGCAGTCTACAGATTAGGAGCAGGAAAAACAGACTGTAACGAGGGACGATGCAGAATTGATTAAGTTGTTTACAGGAGCAGTGGGTGACCTGTGTGAATACCTTGTGGAGTTTCTCCAGCAGCCTCAGAGTGGCAACAAAATAGTTCTCGTAGAACACCGGTACGAGCAGCGTCTTGCCTCCCGTTAGCATGAACACAACGATGCTCTTGTACATGTCGACCATTCTTATGAACACAGTGTCGTCTACAAAACACCACCAGTTATCTGCAAGGACAGAGAAAAGGGTCAAATTAATTAATACTGTGGTTGTTATACTGTGGTTGGCTGACTTTCTTCATTGATCCGACAGCATTTGTAAACTACAGATCTGTTTAACGGTGTAAATATCGAGTGTTCTCGCAGATTCACGCATGAACACTGTTTGTTAGCATGTGGCTTCTGCACATGGACAATAAACATGAAAAAGCATAGTCCAAATACTGAATGTATATTGGATTTGTAGGTCCGTAAGGGCATCGCTATGCTTCAAACAAAGTTATTGTTGAATGTTCGAACAGGATCTGAAACACCCTCCCCCACCACACCTTTCCAACGTCGGTATTAAGGGGTCTGCGTCAGATCCCGACAATCCAACATCCATGCAGCGACTGACCAGGTGTGCAGAGGTGAGAAAGTAAGCAGGGTTTCAACTCCTCTAGCTCTCTTTTGTCACCATCCACGCAATTACTTCACCTGTCATGTGTATCACAGAGTGCAACACCATGAATGACACTGAGGAGTGACTGTCGCTCTAGACCAACTTCTCAAAAGTTTTTCACAAGGTTAAACTGTTGCATTTAAATAAATACCAAGTAGTTGGTCCAGAGCTGACCCTTTCTTTGTTTTCGATTCCTCTCACACTTGAAGGACTTTGACCAGCTACCAACTAAACTGTAGTGAAGAGAACTGATTTTCCCAAATATCAGTCTCAAAACTCTGTGACCAGTCAGGCTGCTTCCCGTTTGGGGATGTTACCCCTTGTTCTGGAACCATTTCATTGTTTGGTAGCAAATCTTACAAATCCCTTGTGATAACAAGCTAAGTACAGATGAGTTAGGTGGATATGGATGAGGATGCTGACATACTTTAGATGACGAGTCATGTGGTGTGATGTCACATGGTGCCACTGGGTTTGACATGGACCGGATGTTCTTTGTCATCAGCTACCAAAGGCGATTTCAAATGACTTGAGTGGCATAAAAAGTTTAAAAATAAAAACTCGTGTGTGCATGCAAGTATGATACCCAATACTTTGCTGGGGTTGGCGTCTAGGCGCAGGATAGCCATTGCCAGGGGGATAGTGAGGCGGATGTAATTCTTGGAGTCCTGCAGGGCCGGGTACTCAGACAAAATGAGATAGATCCTCATGGCCTCGACGTCAGGAGGGGAGCGCGGCAGCTGAGGGATCAACAGACTCTCAAAGCTCTTGGTGGCCTAAACAGAGGGTTGGACACGGAAAGACGGAGGAGACGTATTGTGTATATAAGTACACACATCAAAGAAACAATATTTACTGTTGGAGAAAAGAATTTGAGAGTGTACTATGACATGTTTGAAAGCTACACGTATAAATAAATAAAGCAGACAAATTTATGGGATATTTTCTCAATTCAGCTTGGATCAACTTGGCAGCAGGGGAAATATATCAGTCGCTAAATTTTGGGAGAGGCTTTTAGTGGTTTGGAACGAGGCCTCGGTATCCACACAGATTATAATTCATGTTGGGTTGAGGTGCATGAGCCCAAAACCTAACATTACTGAGCTAATGTTAGAGGTTATGACTCAGTCCTGCAGTTTGTGCCATGGATCTGCAGCAGGACTTGATGTACTTTCAAAACAAGCCTGATATTCACATACAAAATGTTTTTTACAACCACAAGCAACATAACCAATGCAGTGCAACATCCCAATGTTCTGACTTTAACTGCTCCATTACAGGGACAAAAACACAAACAGGGAGCTCATTTGTCACGTCTTTAGTCATGTCAAGTTTTGTTTTGTTTTTTAAATGAGAAGAAAATCACTTCCTACTGTGATATTCATGAATACTAATGGATCCAAAAATGACTTTGCATTTGGGAATTACTTTAGATATAAATGGAATGAGGTTTTTAATTTGAATTTGCAACCTTTAAAATCGACAGAATCCACATTGCTTAAAGTGAGACACTAGGGGTTCATTTTCTGAGATTCTCTTAGGTCAGTTGCTTTATACCCACATTCACTGATATTTTTTGGGCACTTGAAGGCAGTACACAAAACATCTGATTGTTGATGTGGTGAACATGTTCGCAAACAATTACCTACTTACACGTCCAGCACCATTAGCAGAGCAACATTAGGATTCATTTGGAGTCCACCTGATGATTGGAAGATACACAGTCTTCATTAGCTCTGGTTCGGTCTCCATCAAC